CCAATTCAATGAATTTAAAAAAATCTAATGGTTAATTTGTGTAGTTCACGGTTAACTTGTGGCATTGTCATTCATGGTTTATAGGAAGAATAACTGAAAATCAATTTGTATGCATATGTGTCGTGTGGAGAAAGACCCTCTAGCTAGCCTTTCACCCAATTTTCATCCAAATTCACTTTATTTCTACAATTTATTTGTTTTAGTTTAAAATTCGTCCAAACAAATCCCCCTTTAGTATTTCGTGTCAATTTACTTCAATTTTCGTCCAAATCACCCTTTAGTTCCTGTTTTGAGTCAATTTGTTTGTTTTGTTCTGTTTGGAGTCAATCTGGTCAGTTTTGAGTCACTAGAATCTAGTTTTGTGTTTTTGAGTTAAATTTGTGTAGATTAGCATCCCTCCTAAACCCCGACCTAAAATGATCCCTACTTACACATACTACAACTGTCAAAAAGAGGGTTTAAGTTTGTATGCTATTTTATATTACATCATAGATCCATAGGTAAATGAAAAGCCTTACCATAAACAAGCCGAAACGGAGACATTCCAATCGGACCTTTAAATGTTGTTTTGTGCGCCCATAGAGCATCGCTTAATTTCAAACTCTAGTCTTTATGATTGGAGCTAACTATTTTCTCAAGAATGCGCTTTATTTCTCGATTAGAGACTTCAACCTACCCAGATGTCTAGGATGATAGAGTAGCAATACGATGGGTAATCCCATACTTTGCCAACAATGCAGCAAATGGCCTGTTCACAAAGTGCTTCCCCATCACTTAGAATTACATGCGGAACTATGGAAAGTTACCCCTTGAAGGAATTTCAGAATAACTAATTCTTGATTAGCTGGTGCTGCGATTGCCTCAGCCCATTTGGAAACATACTCAATAGCCACTAAAATGTATTAATTGCCATGAGACGTTAGGCATGGTCCCATGAAACCAATACCCCAAATCAAATAATTTAACAACTGAAATACTTTGATGTGGCATCTTATTTTGTTTGAACTGACTTCCCACTCTTTGACAACGATCATAAGATTTACACCAATTATGAGCATCCTTGAAAAGAGAAGGCCAAAACAAGTTACTTTGCAAAATTTTACCTGCTGACCTTTTAGGTCCAAAATGTCCCTAACAGGCATAATGTTGTGCAAATTTTAAAACACTTTCTTACTCTTCTTCCAGAATACACCTACGAATAACTTGGTATGAATAGTGCTTGTATAAATACATTTTATCCCAAAAATAATACTTTGCATTAGCCAAAAAAATTCTTTTTCTACTGGCAAGTAAAATCTAGATAAATTAACTCTCTAGCCAAATAATTAACTAAATTCAAAAACCATGGTGAACTGTTATGGATGGCAAATAGTTATTCATCTAGAAAACTTTCTTTTAATAGCAGCGAATCCTCTTCTGTAGAAATTGGAAGATCAGCCTTGACAAATGATCAGCCACAACATTTTCACTATCATTTTCATCCCTCATTTCTATGTCAAACTCTTAAAGTAGAAGAACCCAATGGATTAAATGAGGTTTGGCATCTTTTTTAGACAACAAATACTGTAAAGGTGCATGATCTACATAGATAATCACCTTAGCCCCAACCAAATAAGAATGAAATTTCTCTAATGCAAACACAATTGTCAACAATTCTCTCTCAGTGGTTGTATAGTTTAGCTATGCATCATTGATGGTCCAACAAGCATAAAAATAACCTAGGGAAGCTTATCTTTTCGCTGTCCAAGAACTGCCCCAATTGCATAATCTGATTCATCACACATCAAGTCAAATGGTAAACTCCAGTCAAGGGTGACAATAATGGGTGCTATAGAGAGGATTGTCTTTAACTTGTTGAATGCCTTTATACAAGCCTCATGAAAAACAAAAGGAGCATTATTAGCCAATAAACCACTCAAAGGCCAACCAATCTTGGAGAAATCCTTGATAAACCTTCTATAAAACCTAGCATGACCAATAAAAGATCGGACACTTTTAATCGTTGTAGGCGATGGCAGCTTAGCAATGACATCAATTTTAGCCTTATCAACCTCAATACCTTTGTTAGAAATCAAGTGACCTAATACAATCCCCTGCTTAACCATGGAATAACACTTTTTACAATTCAAAATGAAACTTTTTTCAATTCAAAACCAAGTTTGTTTCAATGCATCACTCAAGAACTAGGGATAAATTCTGCAAACATTGATCAAAGGAACCTCCAAAAGAAAAAAATCATCCATAAATATACCTCAATAACTTGTTCAACCAAACCTAAAAATATGCTCATCATGCAACGTTGGAAAGTTGCAAGTGCATTGCCTAAACCGAAAGGCATCCTCTTATAGGCAAATGTGTTGAAAAGACATGTAAAGGTTGTCTTTTCTTCATCCTTGAGTGCAACTGAAATTTGATTGTAGCATGAATACTCATCTAAGAAACAATAGAAAATACGACCAGACAATCTTCTCTAACATTTGTTCAGTGAATGGTAATATAAAATTATCTTTATCTAGCACCTGCATTTGGCTTTCTATAACCAACACACATGCGCCACTTAGTAGCTAAGTGTGTAGGCACAAGTTCATTGTTATCATTCTTCACAACTGTAATTCCGGATCACTTAGGTACCAGTTGGGTTGGACTAACCCACTTGCTACTTGAAATTGGGTAGACCATCCTAGCATCCAAAAGTTTCATAACTTCATTACATACAACCTTTTTCATAATTAGATTCAATCGACGTTGAGCATCAATGGTGGGTTTCACTCCATCTTCCATCAAAATTCTATGCATGCAAATTGTTAGGTTGATCCCTTTAATGTCTCTAATAGTCTAACTTATTGCATCTTGATAACTCCTCAAAATGCGCACTTTTCTTCTATTGGTGATAAATCAGCAGCAATAATAACTGGTAGCGAAGATTCTGCACCCCAAATAAACATATTTAAGTGTTTGGGCAACACCTTTAACTCCAATTTAGGTGGTTGTACTTTAAAAAGTAACAACGGTTTTTTCAGTTCCCCCAAACTTTCAAAAACGTGCCTCCAACATAACTGGTAAAAAGGTACACTTTCCAATGCTTAAATATACTCAAAAGCCTCTTCATCTTCAGTTTCTTTATTCTCGAACCCATGCAAAACGTTCAACAACATATCAACAGTTAAACAGGGCATAATATATGCATGCATGATGACATCAAACACGTCAACTCACATACAATCTTGCAATTAGCTGGCCTTTTAGTTGCTTCAAAAAGACGGAAAACAACGGACTGATTTTGCACTCTCAGTGTAAGTATTCCAGCTTCTACATCAATCAAAGTCCGAGTTGTTGCCATGAAAGGACGCCCTAATATAATTGGTGTTTGCATATCTTCATGCATATCAAGACAACAAAACCTGCAGGAAGATAGCGATTATCCACTTTGATAATGAGATCTTCAATAATTTCCCTAGGATAAGCAACTGAATGATCTGCTAATTGCAGAATAATAGATGTAGGATTGATTTCTTCTTGTCCTAGCCACTAAAAAACAAAAAAAAAAAGACATTAAATTAATACTAGTACCTAAATCAATTAAAGCACGCTTAAAATTTGAATTTCCAATTGTGCATGAAATTATAAAACTCCCTAATTCTTTTTCTTTGGTGGCAATTTGTGCAATGAAACTGCACTGCACTGTTTGGTTAGAATCATTTTTTCAAAATCCACAAACTTCTTTTTCGTTGAGTAAACATCTTTAAAAAAACTGGGCATACAAGGGAATGTTCTTGATTGCATCAATAAACGGTAGATTAATCTAAACTTTAGCAAATGTCTTCATGAAATCCGTTAATTGTTGATCCATCGGCTTCAACCTTACGGGATATGGCATTGGGGCACAAACACATTCTGCAATTTCAGCAGTATTTTCGGACCTATCCCATAGTAATGCAAAATCTGCATAAATTTTACAAGCTGCAGAAGTTTCAAAATTTGCAGAATCTGCAAAAATACTAGAATCTATTTGTGGTTGTGTTGTTGCTGCCTGCGAATTTCCGACACCGTTTTCATCTCAGTTATCATAACTTTTCCCTTCGGATTCAAAACAGTTTAGCTAGGAAATTTACCAGATTCTCTATCTAAATACTACAACACAATCTACCCAATTTGTTGCTCCAAATTCTTTAATGTTGCATGAATATTTTGAATTTCCTAACTAGTTTGATCAAATTTTGTGTTGGTACTGTTTGCTAATTTTTCAATTGCAACCTCCCAAGCAGCTTTAGATGGTGCAGCAGGTTGTTGTATCGGCTGTTGAAATTATGGTTTAGCCTGTTGATCTCTATCACACTTGAAATTTGGATGATCTCTCTATCTCGAGTTGTAGACATTTGAATACAAATCGTTCTTTGGACACTGAAAATTATTATAGGCATCAACTTATTTCGCTGTAAACTCTGGTTATGCATCCTTATATGGGCTGTGAAATCCCTTCCTCAGAATTTCACCATTTATTACATATTTTGTAATTTAAATTTGTATTTCACGATTGCGTTATCTTTATTAGTTAATTTTAATTCCACTAATTATAAGTTTAGTAATTGATTAGTTATCGAGTTGAAAGTTTTATAATCAATCTTTATCTTTCGTTGATATTTTGAAGTTACAACTAGTGTTTTTAAATAAATCTTGAACCCACTAACGCATAGGCGAAAGCCGTTTGCGAGTCTGAATTATATCGTTATAGTTACGGACATTTGATGTGGTGAAAATATAGATTGTGGGAATTATTTTAATTTCCACTTATGGGTAAAAGGCCCCAACTTTTTTTTGATTAATGGACCAGCTACTATAAGTGGAATTGGACATTTTAGGTGGTGGAAAAAGGTTAGTTAGCAACCTAAAAAGGGGACACAGCAAATTTTTTTTTAAATGATGAGAAAGGACCAATAGGAAAAAGAGAGGTTGACATTTTCTTTTCCTATTTGGTGAACCCGTGTACACCATTAACCCTTTTTATTTTCAAACCGGCCAATTTTAGGCCAATTCCTACCATTTCTCTTCTGATTTTCCTATCTCCTTCACCTGCAACTTGCTCAACTACCTTCCTCCTTCCCTCTCTACCAAAAATTAAGGGTTTTTAAGGTCTATTTCATGTAGAACTCCATAGGAGAACCCGGGGGGTTCTCGACGACGAATTGTCATTCCAGAGAGTATCACCATTCACATCACCCTTAATCAACTTCCCTTGGACCCAAGAACAAGAACCAACTGGTGGTTGGGGCATTGGAACACCAAGGAAGCCGAATTGAAGAAGGTTTTGTTGGGTGCGAGCCAATTTGAGGGCCTTCCTGGCTAAATTGGACTCGGCCACAGGTATAAAGTTTACTCGTTGAAATCTTCATTCTTGTAAAATTTGAGAATTTTTGGAAAAAGTCAAATTTTCCGATATGTGACATTCGATTTATGAAAATGCTGTTGATTGTATATTTTATTGATAAGGTATGCCACTTGATTATTCTAACAATTGACAATCTTATCATTGAATTGAGACACAATTTTAATATGCTATTGTAGATATTGTTTAAAGACCTTAGGGACTTATAAGTGAAAATCTAGTGATTGGATTTTACGAAGCAAATGACGTAAGATCATGGACCCTACATTAGAACGACGGTTCGATTCCTCATTAAATGTTGTTATGGGAGACGAGACATATGAGAATTTTTGAGTATGTGAATTATCGAAGGAAATCTAAATGTGGACTTGTGCTTTGTTAGGCAGTGATTGAACGTGATGCCTTGACTATCGTGCTAGGGTACATTAGCACAGACTCTAGGTAAGTGACTTTAATATATGTGATATTGGTAATTACCAGGTTATCATAATTATGATCCTGTATGGATGTGAATTGGTTTTATGAATATGTTCTATTGAATTGTTATTCCAATACTTCGACATCAATTTATGTTTATGAAATGGGGTGTGGCATGTATATTGGAAATGTTGTTTGATTTGTATGATTGGCATGTTGAGATTAATGTGAGGACTAGTAATGACCGTTAACCATTATGATGGGGATTTGTTGCTTCGATATTGTATCACCTTCCACTTTGGTGATTGGTTCTAAATTTAGTAATTGTGCATAATCTCCCTTTGTTGAGTTTTTGTAAATTAAGTAGTTTGTGATTGTCTCATTTCTTTAAGCCGCAGTACATTCTGATTGTTGGTCTTCTATGATTATGTTGAGTGATGGTCCAGAATCGTATCCACTCGGATTCCGTTGAGAGATGGTCCGGAATCCCTTCTATTCCGCGATTCCGTTGAGTGATGTTCCAGAATCATATCTAAATTGGGTTTCATTTAGTTATTGTTACGTATTGTATTTATTGATTACGTTGAGTGAGGGTCCAGAATCGTATCCACTTGGATTCCGTTGAGAGATGGTCCGAAATCCCTCCAATTTCACGATTCCGTTGTGTGGTGGTCCGAGATCGTACTCACCTTGGGATTTATTGAATTTGAATTGTGATGACTTCAAAGGTGTAGGCTTCGACCAAACTGTGTCGCTCTAACTCTACTTTTCATTGTGTTGTATGAGAAGATAGTTGTGAGATGTTATTATTGGTTTCAGACGAACCGTTGGATGTCTGGGTGACTCCTTCGGGGTTTACAAAAGTTGGTATTGATTTCTTATGAATGATTTATATTCAAGATATGTAAATTGTGTTTGATGGTTGGCATTAGCATTATTAGCACATACTTGATATTATTGTCACTCTCCTAAGCTTTGCAACTTATCTAGGTTGTTGTTTGCCTGGTGCACCATTCCGATGGTGTAGGCATTGATCGTTCAGGTGACAGGTTTGAGTAGACTCCAAGAATTTTGTAGGTGGGTTAGCAGTGCAATTATCAGAAACTTGGAGCGTTAGGTTACCCTTGTTTCACTTTTGTACTTTATCTTTTGGGACTTTCTTTTGAGCACCTCATACTTGTCCTTAGTAAAGCAAAGATTATGCTTCTTTTTGGGATGTACATATTTGTAAATATTTTGTGGAGAACTTAGCCACCTTCACATTATTTTGGATTATCAGTTAAAGTATTTCATTCTGTATCTTATATCGTATTCAACGAACATTATTTTCCTTGTCACGTTTCGATTTTCGACGTATGTTGGTATCGGGACATGACATGGGCAGCTCATAAAATCATGTGTTGTCATGCTACAGATGCTGCAGGCAGCTGTTATAGGTTGTTGGACAGCAACTTGCTATCTAGAATCTAGAATTCTTTGCAAGAGCATATCAAATTTTGCATCACATTTTTTTCATCTTTTTCTCCATCTTTTTAATTTGAGCTGACACATATGGAGACCCAACAGACATCTCAAAAACGCTCCTAGATTACAGCTGCTCAACTGCCCACTGTTGTGTATTTGCTGCCATTTTTTCAAACAATAGACACGTCTCTTATGCATTTTTGTCTTTATATGATCCTCCACATAAAGTATTGACAAGAGTCTTTATTGTCATATTTAACCCTCTAAAGAATATATGCATCTGAGTAGTACCGTCAATACCCGAGTGAGGACACTTTCTGATCAACTCCTTGGATCGTTCCCAAGCTTCATGAAATTCTTCATTTCGGTTTTTTAGCAAACGATGGAATTTAAATCCTCATGTCAAAAGTCTTAGAAGCTAGATAGTACTTACTTAAGAATTTTTCACTAAGTTGGTCCCAAAAGTTCGTACCGCTATAATAAATAAAGATTTATGGATGAAGTAATTGGAGTGACAAATGGTTACGGTTCTCATGCCTACTTTACCACAGCTACCATGATCATAGCCATCCCCACTGGAATAAAAATCTTTAATTGGACAATGCTTTTAGATGGAAGTGTGAGGAGCCATCTCCTTGCTTGTTCCTTCAAAGTGCAAGGAAAAAAATGAAGCTTGATAGATTCAGTTGAAAATACCTTCACCAAAATATTCTTGCATCCCATTAAAATTTTTTAATGTGCATGTTAGGATCGTTAGCTAATAACCCATTAAAAGTAGGTAAAATATTCAACATGTGATGTTTTACTTTCGAATGTAGAACCTTCCTCGACTTCTAGATAGCTAATGCAACTTGGTATGTTAGTGGCATGAGCTGTTAATGAATTCCCCAAGGGCTGACCAACTTCTGTTATAACAAATGCCATGGTACCTTTGCAGTCCAAAGCCCCAGAAAATATAAATTGCATAAATGTCCCCTGCAGTGAAGGAACCCACTACAGATTCTACTCCATGCGCCACCTTCTTAATGATTGTTCAGGTTTTGGATCAAAAGGAATGAGATTCTACCCTGCTGAACGAGTGTTGACCATGTACAGATTCTGTAATTTGCACTGAACAGATTGCTGAAATCTACAAAAAAATAAAATAAAAAAATTATTTTTTTATGTGCAGCAATAATTAACTAAGAATTTAATTAAAACGAATTATTTTAAACAAGTCCCGGTAACGGTGCCAATTTCTTGATAGGATTTTACCACACGCACAAAATGATTAAAAACACCTATAATACTTGCAAGAGTAACAAGGATATTGTAGTATAGATGGTTCTAGTAAGGTCGTTCTCCACAAGGATTATTAAATAATTCGTACTAAACCAAATCTCAATTAATTATTTAAAAGCAAAATTTTCAGAAGATTGATTTTATGACCTAATTTACTAAAAACGAATTTAATTAAAAAGAGTAGAAAAATCTGCAGTATTAAGAAAAGAAGAGAAAAAATCTTTAGAAATCAAATTGAGAAAACACTAGGGTTTCACCGTCACCTTAATAATCCTACGCAGTTATCCCAATTATTTATGGCTTATACATGCATATTTTAAAGCTTAGGCTTTCCTAATATATGCCTACTTAGACCCCCAACATAAAGCGTTTATCAAACATGCAATCCGCTTGTGGTATTCAGATTAAATCTAAACATGCATGACTCATTAAGTTTTGTGAAAACTTTTTGAAAAACCATGCAACCCTTAAGACGTGGTATTCATCCTAAGTGAACTTGCCTATATTAACCACAAGAAGCCTTCGTCAATTTTAGGGACCGACCTCCAACCAAAATTGCATCAAATTACTTTTATAAACATCCTAATGGTCGCGAATCATCAAGACACTTAGCTAGTTTAAACCGGTGATTAATAATTCAAAAACCTGCATGCATATTATAATAAGTAAATTGAAAAGAAACTACATATTCTTGCTAAGACTCATGGCCTTACCCTAGCAAAAGAGATTAGTTATGCATATTCATAATTAAAATCAGAAGTAATTGTATTGAAATCGAAAAAGATTGAAAACACCTTGAATGTAATTCTGAAATCTCTAAGCTTTGGCCAAATTCCTCTCTCAAATATCGCATAGAGAAGAAGAATAATAAGGCCGGCCACAATGGCTTATTTATATTGCTATAATTAAATCCTCCTAGAAAAATGTCTTAGAATAAGACTAGGAAACCAAATAAAATAAAATAAATTAGGAAACATAATCTTAAATTGACTAGTAAAATTCGTCCAAAATCTGCACAGCTACATTTTGGACCCATATCTGCTCCAAAACTGACTCATAATAGCTGGATTTCAAGCTTGGAATATTTTGAACACTTCTTCAGAAGGCCACGATCCCATCAGAGGTTAACTTGGGCTCCAAAAATCGCAATTAAGCCCAAAAGTGTTACTTTCCAGAACCGCACATTGCTTCTTTATTCTATCGCCAGAAAATAACCGTTTGATAGAAAAAGCTGAAATTTTGATACAAACAAGATAAGGAACTCATGAACATCCTCCAATTCGAATCACTTCAAAATTCATCCATTTGATCATGGTTTGCTCCAGAGGAAGTCGAATGTCCTATATTAAAAATATAAAGCAAAATATCAAAACTCTACCAAAATAATTATCAAAACATATTAAGAATAGGTAAAATATGTAATATGAAATCGACTCATCAATTTGCATATTACAAGTTTTTTACTCTTCTCTATCGGTTAGATTCCTCCGGTCATTGTCTATTTATTGAATGGCTGAGGCTCTCCCTTCAACATTACTTTTCACAACCATTCTTTCTTAGCTATTCTCTTACTATTTGTTCCACCATGTCAAACCCTCAAGTCACTGCTAACACTTCTCTTACCACGAAAAGGCTTTAGAATCTATGCCAACCAATATGTCCCAAACTCGGCAAACCATTTCCCAGTGCGTCAACCTGGACAACATGTGGTTATTAGGAAAGCTAGAAGCACCTTCACGTGAAAAGAAGAATCAGTAGAGTGAACACCACTTTGTGCTCTTCGATTAATGTCGAGCACATGCAGAGTAGAGTTCTATATGAGCAAATGTTCGGACAATACTTGGATGCCCATCTCATCAAGTGGAAGCTGAGCTTACTTTGGAAAAACGAGGTGAAAAATACCTTCAACTTGGACCACTTTGGTCGTAGATGGTTTGTCTTGGAATTCACTGATGAGGATGACCTGCATCTTGTTCTCGAGAATAGACTTTGGTATGTTAAAGGCCAAATTTTCCACCTTGAGCGCTGGACTATTCAATTCTGTGATATGGGTATAATCTCCGAATTGGTGATGTGGGTTCACCTACCAAGGGTTCCGATGCAGTACAAGGAGGATAATATCTTCAAAGATATCTCACAACCAATAGGCATGATCATTAAAGTGGATGAGATCACACTTGATCTCAATGATCTTTTCGTGAAAGTTCTGATTAAGGTGGATAATAGGTTCCCTTTGAAGAGGGTACTGATCATCAGTAGGCATGAGGATAATCCCATTTTTATTAGTTATGAAACGCTGTTTGAAATCTGTTTTTACTGTGGCAGAAGAAGGATAAATGGTCAATTCTGTCAAAAAGTTGAAGATCGTTGTTTTATGATAGATAGGGTTTTTTATGATGAACCGTTAATCTACCCTGAGGATACACAGGTCGATGAGGATATTAAGTCAAATCTCCATAAGGATGCCATGCTTTGTTTCCTATTTGCTGTCAATGTGGAGGAGGAAAACACGGAAATTGAAGAGCTTGGGCAAAGAGTGGAAGATGATGCTTACGATGATGAACGATGGACAACTGTAATCCCAAGGTGCAAAGGAAGGTGGACAAGTGAAAAAAATGAGAAGTAATGAGGGATGTCAAAACTTATAAGGAGGTAGTGAAAGGATCGAAACACAAATGGATTCCTAAGGTAGATTTGTTGCAGGACTGGAGAACAACGAACGTCAGCAAGCGAGGTTTAGTGTCCTGAGTGATGATTCCTCTGGAGTTAGCACTCTCTTAGGTAATTTACTCAGTATTAGAATGCTAATGGAAGATGGATAAATTCCAGTTCAAGCTCTTTTTAAGGTTTGAATGATATGAGCTCTCTGTGTATAATTCTGACCCTGTTAGCCGGACTAGTGGTCTCTATCTTTATTGGAACTCTTTGATTTTATCAATTATCGTATTGTCTCTAGCAGGATGAAGCCAGAGATTGTATGAATGGGGCATCCCCAAACAACAAAGTTACAATTAAAAAGCTAAAAAATTTACTAAACGAACACTTATATATTAATCTATAAAGTTTTTCATACAAAACACTTAGAATCATTGTTGGCTAAGTTAGTCATATTGATATTAAGATAAATGCTAAGGAAACTCTCTCAAAGTGGGACTCTCCATGGAGCCTCATATTTTTTGCACAATGTTTAATTATATTGGTACGGGGATTGTGCTAAAAACATAAGGTGGCAAAAAGTCCATGGAGACTTTCGGAAGAGTCTCCTTAGCATTTCCCTTGATACCAATTAGCATATAGGGTTTAATTTTTATTTTAATTAGGGTTGGTCATTGAGATGCAAAATTGTACAATTTTTCTGTACCCAAAAAAAAAATTGGGTGGGGGCATCCTCTAGGCCTATAGTGGCTCCGTCTTTGATCTCTAGTTCTCGTTACATTTGTTATGTAGTTAAGATGTCAGTCTTGATCAATTATAGATTATTACTTTTCTGTATATGCTCCCTTAAAGGAATCTGCAAACAGATTTATGAGAGGAAATTTTGATGCTTAACCCTATC